TAGGATTGCAGTAGCCCGATTCAAGGGTCACCCAATAAACCTCACAGTTATCGCTGCCTACGCCCCGACTCTCCCATCTGACAACAACGTCAAGGATGAGTTCGATAGCAGCCTTCAATCGCTTGTTAATGAAATACCCGAACGGGATTTATTTGTCATAGCAGGGGACTGGAACGCTCGAACTGGTTCACAAATAGAGGCCACGAAACACATCACAAGGAGGTTTGGCCTGGGCCAGCGCTGCGAAAATGGCGACAGACTACTCAGCTTTGCCGATTATAATCGACTGTGTATCACCAACAAGCGATTTCCAAAAAGGCATCTTCTAACGCGGATCTGATCACGTACTAGTCCGCGCGAAAGTTAGACTCCATCTAACTCGCAGGAAGTCCGTCTCCTCAAAACGCCTAGATGTGCTTCCACTGGATAACAGCGAGAAATGCCAGACACTAATGGACATGATAACCGCACAGCTGTCACAAGATCCTCTCAGTATACAAGGTAACACAGGGAGCTCGGTTGAAACTCAGTGGACTAGGATGAATTCATCGATACAACAAGCTGCCCTACACGCACTAGGCACCAGACCACGTCGTCTGAAGGACTGGATATCCAGTCACACCATCCAGTTAGCTAATGCGGTCAGAGAGGCCCGTCTACCTCAATCCTCCACTTATCGCGATCTCAGGTGACAAGCAACACGATCAGCCAGAAACGATAGAGGCAACTACTGGAGTGAAATGGCTACTAAAATGGAGACAGCAGCCAACCTGGGCAACACGGCGACCCTCTTCTGTCTTATTCGATCAGCATCGGGCAAGAATCAGGTCACCCACTCTGTGCTGCGCAGCACCTCCGGTGAGCTCATCTCTGATGTGCACGGAAAAATATCTGGGTGGGTGGAACACTTTAGTCTTCTTCTCAACCGCCCTCAAATCCAACTTCTGTGTGCGCCCTCATCGCCATCTTCTCCATACGAAGTTAACTGCGCTCCGCCATCAGCAGGAGTCTCAGATATCATCAGTCATCTCAAACCACGGTAATCTCACGGTGAGGACGGGATACCGTCCGAAATCTACGAAAAGTGTTCGCCAGCCATTTTTAAACCCTTTTCATAGCTTACTGTGTGCAATCTGGGAAACCAAAAATTTGCCCAATTGACTGGACCACATCGATTTTACTACCCTTCCCCAAAAAGGGTGACAAATCAGTGTGCGAAAACTACAGAGGCATCAGCTTACTGGACGTGGCGGCCAAGGATTTTGCACAACTTTTGCTGAACCACTTTGCTGCAGCAAGGCATGCACGCACTCGTCCTGCCCAGAAAGGATTCCGCCCCGGTGTGGGCTGTGTCGGTCAAATATTCACTCTACGTCGACTCTTGGAACATCGCCAACAACCTACAACAGTCTGCTTCATTGATTTCCGTGCGGCATTCGACTCCGTAGATCGCGAATCCCTCTGGAACATAGCTCTGGCCGATGGTGCCCCAGTCAAACTTGTCAACTTAATGAGATCCTACTATTCTAACACTTGCGCCCGAATCCGTGTCTACGGAGAGGAATCTTGCCCGTTCGAGTTAGGATCTGGATTGCGACAGGGGTGCCCATTGACCCCAATGCTGTTCAACTTTGCTGTGGACTGGATTATGTGTCGCTCGATGGAAGGATACCAGGGAGTCCAGATCTTTCCGAACTTATGGCTCACCGACACAGAATTCGCGGATGATATTGTCGTCTTTGGCGAGGACATGTCTAACCTCCAAGTAATCGCTGACCGCATCAATCGATAGGCCTCCGAGATCGGTCTGGAGGTGAACACATCAAAAACCAAAACCTTTACGACAGTCCCGATTCATTTCGAGAATGCTTTACTACAAAACGGTGAGCGGATCGAATCCATCGAAAGCTTCAAATATTTGGGCTCAACCATTCTCCCCAACGGACAAGCTAAAGATGAGGTGCAAATGCGCGTCGACGCTGCAAGAAGGGCGTTTTTACAGTTAAAGAATCCCCTTTGGCGCAGGAATGAAATCAGCCTCAAAACAAAAGTCCGAGTTTTCTCCGCAGCAGTCCGTCCTGTTTTGCTATACGGTTGCGAAACCTGGCCACTCAGAGTCGAAGACTGTCACAGATTAAAAGTCTTCGATCACTGGTGCTTAAGAACCATTCTGGGAGTTCGATGGAGGAATCAACTCTCAAATGAAGCGGTCCGAAATTGGTGTTTTAATCTTGTACGGCTGAGGACGCTAATACAACGGCGACGACTGAAATGGTTTGGCCACATTCTTCGCAAGCCCGATAACGACCTGAAAAAAGCTGTCTTGACACCGCCTCCCTGCCCGAACTGGCGATGTCGGCACGGTGGACAGCTGAAAACCTGGCTAGCCACGGTGCAAAAGGATACTGAAAACCTTGGTCTCCGCTCCGTCTACGGTGTTCGCCAATGGAAGTCAAATTGGATCACACACAATATGCGCTGATCTTGCCGCAGATCGCCGAGTGTGGACAGCGGCAATTCGAGATATCCAAGAAGCCTGCTTATCCTCTCCCAGGAGCCAGCCGCCGTAAAGTAAGTAAAGTAAAAGTAAGTATCAAATACTGCAGAACCCAAACCATCGATGTCGGCAGCTGCTAATGTCATCTAACAATGTACCTTAGTACCTTAGGGGGCATCGTTTTAAGTTATTGATTCCAAAGTGTCGACTGGAAAGCCGGTGCCAATCTTTCGCAGTCAGAGTATGCAGTACTTGGAACACTCTTCCATCTTACGTCGTTTGTGCACCAACTATTGAATCTTTCAAGCGGAGACTCAATGAAACCTTGGCACACCTCACATTCCTACACCACTAAAAGCAAACGCTAATTCATTGAAGCCTAAATTCTCTATAATCTCCTACCTGAAACTGCATGTGATTTTGTTTTTGCCATGAAACAATTCAACTGTGTTCAATTCAGCTGCCCGGCATGAGCTGTGCGATGAAACATGAAAACCTCAAAGACTGTCAACAGGAAGCCCCAGGTGCACTGATCCGACAGTTTTAAACCAGTACACTCACCCTCCTCGTGTTTTGGCTGCAGTGGTCTTTCCAAAGGAGAATGTGGATGGTAAAATGAAAACCCAACGCACGATCAATAAGCCAGTGGTATGCAAATGAGCGTTTCCGGACCGCTACTGATCGACAACTAAGACCAATGGGAAACGCCCTCCAGTAAGCCTAGCTGGATCACAGAGTTACACAAGCCAGTACATCGAGTCAAGGGGCAGATTTGTAGAGCACGTTACCAGACTATGGCCGTTATTACGCGGAGGTACTACTTTCTAAAGCCATATGAGACTACTACTCATTAGGGTGATTAGAACTGATCAAACTTCACCTTCAGGTGAATTTTTGGGGAGGAGGGGGTTCAGAACGGGAGCCATTGGTTAGTCACAGTCTGAGCCGCAGGGCAGCCGGGAAACAGTTTAGTATCAGGTGAACAAAATCTGAGAAAGAAAACACTGAAATTCGTGGTGCGAAAATAAAACGTTACGGATTGATCCAAATAAGGAGTAAGTTTGGCTAGAAGTCTGCGACGATAACGACTTACATCATCGTATTGTGTAGATACGTGCACGTCTGCGGCAGGCTCCGGATCGACCGAGGAGGATGTCGAACATCGGCGACATATTGTTTCCAGAACCACAACGGCCCCGACAACACCCAGTGCTTTGGAAATCAAACATGAACCGGACAACTGTTTTCGAAGCGTGGACAACAATTTTTCTTGCATAAATTTTTGTTCCCGATTACTGAGGAGCAAAGTGGACAGTAAATAAATGATGTATGAACTCACCAGAAACCCATCCAGGCTAAGATGAGCAATATACGTCGGGCCATTTCCATCATACTCGCGTATGCCCGATCCGTTTGACAGGCACCAGTACTCGAATCTAATACCGCGGCGGAACCTGCCATGGCTGTGACAACACGCATCAATCGATCCATCATGCCGAAAAGGATGGTGTCGAATTGAGATAAATCCAATGGTTTTGAACGTGCCAAATGGAAGAGGGTCAGAAGACCGGTGCGTGATACTGCTTTCTGTTTACTGGTTCCACGTCGAACACGGCCGCTAATTTTGTCCGGGTCCGGTAAAGCGGCCAACGCGTGACGAACCAGATGAATGACAATATCTTGTCGTTGCGTCTCGAGACAGGCTGAGGCACAGAACAGAGCCGTGTACAGAGCAGAGCCGATTGTCCGAACCGAGGTGGACAAATCTGGAGCAGTGGCCAAACCCGGCGAGCTACCACAAGGACTTGTGATGAGCTGATCGATAAAATAGAGCAGTGCGGGGAATAGGCGATGCTCTGGTTCACACAACAGTGAACCGTGAGCGGTGAAAAAGGCCTCCGGGGCTTGGGCACTCAGGGTGATAGGAAACAGTCGTCCGCTGGTCACCAAACGACGTACCAACGTGGCCGCTTCGCTTTGTAGCCGATTGGCTTGACCACTAGTGACGGAATCAGTGGGGCCGGTTGATGGGAGACTGGGGAAGCGGGAAGCCACTGATGCGGATGAGCTACACACAATATGAACGTCTGCCACGCTGTGTATGATGCATAAAATGAGGAAATCTTGAACGGCCTGATCGTGAAATAGCTGCAGATCACTTTTTGTCGCCTCGCAATGGAGTACATCGGATGTATCGATTGCATGCATCCACCTAGCAATGAGTAAATACACACGGCTTTTGTGATTAAGGATGGAGAAAAATGAATGGCATGAATCGCTGTTCGTCCATAAATGATAAAAATGCACTGTACTACATAAAAGGTTTCTCACGGTAGTCCAGTAAAGATCGTCAATTAATTATGAGTACTATTTTTTTCAAGTAGAACGAGTTGGTTTGTTTAGTAAGACATGGTGATGAAAATAAGCCTTTTTGGTGACAAATATGTGAAAGAAATGTAAATTTTCGAACATGGGTAGTGTGTATTGGCGCTATTCACGGCTGGTTATCCATTAACTCCGTCACTATTGCTTAAAACTAAGCACGCAAATCAGACGATCCATCGCGGAGTGACAAAATGAACATTCAGAGTAACTTGGTGGATGCGGGGGGGGAGCGAGTGGATCTGGTTATCGATGGTCACACGTGACGTGTTCCGATGACTATTGCAACCGCACGGTTGCGGAGGGGAAACAGTCGGCGAGCATAATGCTGTCAGCCACAGATATCGTGTTTGTTCAAGGGAATTGGATTAGTCTCTGGCGAAAACCGTTGTGCAGTGTTGACTTGCCTGCATGTCACACCACACGAAAGTGTGTCTGTGTCTAGGAAAGGTGTCTTGCAATTCGACGGCTGATAAACAGTTGGGTGAAAACACTCCGCTTGTGTGTCATCTCACATTCGTTCTGGCAATTGGACTCGTTGAGAACAACGCTGAAATCGGACATCGGGCGCACGTGGCCCACTTATTCCGTACACGGAACCTACAGAACCCGGGTATTTCTCTGCATGTACAATTTAGGATTGTTTCGGAGACAGTGATGGGTATGACGAAGTTCACTATGCGAGTAGTCACGCAGCATGGGTTCCAACTTTTGGGTAACTGTGACTGATGCGTAAATGTGAACGCGGGGCGAAATTTTACGGGGTCACGTAACAATCCTTCTACGGCTGGACTTTCTGCAATGCGTACAATAGTGACGCATCTCTCCCACTCCAAGTGGACACCCGAGGTGAAATTCGTGTGAATCCGGCTAGCTCAGGTGTGGATAGAGAACCCAGATTTCCCAAACGATAAAGTACACGGAAGAGGGGGTGCGGTTTGCTGCTCCAACCGAAGTGAGCACTAGTGGAATTTTACTTTCTGTTAAATCTTCTGGATGAACAGCCCCTGAATTTACTTGAGGAATTCACCAATGGAGCCCTTGACCCGAAAGGTAGCTGGGGAATATGTGAACACCGCAATCCATTGGGAGTTAGTGTTAATCAAATTATACACTCTTTGTGGATGAGGTCAAACGCCCAAACCGGTGACCACAGTCAGGAAAGTGTGTGTGGTTCGTACGTCTCTTCTTCGTTGGTTCACAATCGGGGATTTTGGCCTATTCCCCTCAATGAACTGCAATACTGAGGATTTCAGAGACGGGGTCCCAGATTTGCGTCGCGGTCGTCCGCCGCACAAAGGAATCTGTCGATTGAGAAATTCGCGAGTCTAACTCATTTTCGAGCAAAACATAGTCGTGAAGAATTAAAAGTAACTCACCCGTACGAGCATTTTAAATGGCCAAAGCAATATCAAGCAGACTGGTCGCTCATAATATATGTATGCATTTGACTACTTTACACGCACTACTGTGGACCAATCAGGTTGCATGGGTTGATCTCACTCATTCTTAGCATTGCCTCATAATCATCATCGTACAGCGAAATACAGTGAGTTCATCGTAAAAAGTGTCATTTGTGTACCAGAAATGTGATTGGTCGGTGCATATGCTGATACGATGAACAAACACCTTTTGGTGTTGCTTCCCTTCCGGACGCTGATTGAAACCTGGAGACGCACTGCACATAAACGACTTAGCCCTGTTACTGAGTACAATGCCTACCCCACTCTGACCTACTGAACGGGCTTCATTGTCGCCTGATGTGCGAAGAACGTACCTCGAAGACAAATCTGATGCGTTTAAGTGGCTTATAGTAATAGGATCCTGGATTCGAGTCTACGACACGCAGTAAATATCAATCCCTAAGGATTCCATTGTACGCGCCAGACAAGCTTGTTGACCTAGCTGCATCAGGGTCCTCATGCTCAAAGCCCTCAAATTCAGTGATTGACGAGGCTTTAGAATCTGTAATTTGTTTCGTGATACATTACTTACAGCGCTATTTGACAACCATCTTTGGCGAGCGACATTCAAGTTGTTTGACGGACTATCACGGGTCGGAAGAAGAGGAAAAGGGAACGCACGGGGCACGAAAGACAAAGGGTTAAACAAAGGTTGGGATATCTGAACAATAGCTCACTTATCACTACCCACCCCGTTTGATGCAATGGGCAGCGCGGTCCTGACTATCCTAAACGACGATCGATGCAGTATGGAATTATTTTTGTTTGTGTATGCATTTGCGTTTGATGAACGGGTACTGCCAGGGTGTCCAACCAATAAGCAGAAGAACAATTAGGGTTCTCGTCCAAAGCCTTTAGTTCTGACAAGAACCTCTACGCTTCGATCTTCCAGGCATGATTAGATCTTGAGAAAAGCCATCGTATGTAGCTCGTTGGGTCAAGATGCACAAGCCATCACACCACGTCAAGGTGCAGTCTCGACGTGATGGTTTACACGCACTATTGTGGATCAATCAGGTTGCATGGATTAATCTCACTCATTATTAGCATTGTCATTGTTTTCGGATGCCTGTGATAGTCTGACTGAGCCACGCAGCATTAATCAACCAATGTAGAAGAAAATAATGAAGTTAAAACATTGAAGATAAAGATTCACATTGATGGATTAGATTTGAATGATACCTGACGCGATCAAGTCTACTCATGAATATTCCCAAGTTGTCGCACTGTTGCATTCGTAAGTTGGGTATCGCTAACGCACACAATCACAAAACAATTTTAAAAAAATCGCCAAAACAACAAGGGTAAGTGACGAGTGAAGATATGGCAAACCTACTCGTTCATTAATTGCCGGTTAAATTGAAAAGCGACACGAAGAAGTTCAACCAGCGTGCTCTCAACCGGATCCCCAGAGGACTTGATCGGAGTTTGAGGAAATTTGAAATAAGTACGCAAACGACGAATCAGTTTGGGCAGTTCCGTAGATTGACGTGAAACAGCCGGACCATGAATAAGCACGGAGCGAGCGATTAACGGCAGGTACGCGTAATATGCATCTGGAGTATAGCAACGATCCAGTAATTGAAACAGGATATCCGGTAATCGGAGAGCCAGATCACGATCCACGGAAAAACTAGTCAGACATTCAATCAAACAGGCTATCGGATCAGACTGCTGTTGTTGTTGTACTGTGTCTATTGTGCCAGTAGGAATCGTGTTTAGAAGATCAATCAATTTGAGAATTAGTATAGATCTGTCCGCATCAGTGAGTGCACAATTGGTCGTGCATGGAGAGGACGCCAAATCCGGGAGAATACATAGTATACTTGCTTGAGTAGAGGGTTCAGACACCACCTGAAACAATTCAATCAGACGTGCAGCAGTCTCTGCGAATGCCTTCTGACCATTAAACATAGTCGTCAGGCCGACTGGTTGTTTGAACTGTTCCAGGAGTTGGATCGAATATGAAGATGATGTGGCTACCAGTTCCAAAATAAGATCTGTCAGTAATGCTCGAAGCGACGAAATCGAAAGCAACAGTTGGAAAACGGTTGCTGGTGAACCGAACAGGATTAGGACATCATCTGATGATTCCAAAGTCCCCAAATCATTATCATTATTCGGACCATCAATCGGTTTTGGTTTTGAGGTAAGCAACGGAACCAAGAGATCTGCAAATGTGGCTGAGCCGGGAATAAGCGGGTTCTCATCACCGGTTGTTGCTAAATTGCGTAGCTCTCGTACAACCGCCGTACATCGATCCTCATTTTGGACGATTAGCGACTCGACCAACTTACATCGTTGACGTGAAGAGTGTGCAACCGTCCAGGGAGTAGTCTGTTCTGTGTATGGATTTGTAGGCAAACTGTCAAAGTAAAAGTGACCTGTCGAGCTACACCAGGCAACACCCATCGTGCGGAGGATCTCCCGGAGGTGTGGCGTGGGTAAGACAAAGAGAGTGGAATCGTGCATTGACTGGGATAGCCAGTTTTCTCCTCCATTGTTCGAACTATCCGTAGAAGGGTATTCTTTCGATCGCGGACATCCGAAAACCCCAGACAAACGAGACAGCATTGCAGAATAGGTACTCTTATTGCGAGCGGGTGAGCTGAAATGGAACAAGAGTAGTGTCAAATAAGTGTTTGAGAATTTTTTAAGATTACTGTACATAGTTGAATTGCTGTTTGGTGCGTCAAACATCGATTCATGCTTTGTAGTACACCAATTTAAGCGTGAGGCCCGGGCACGTGGAACAATTTCAATCAAGACAACCCCTGGTTTTTCACGTCACCGTGGTGGTTTTGGTTGCTATCCATCGGTTCCCCGCCCCGATGATGGAATAAGTGGAAGAAAAGGGCTGATGAGCGTAATACTATAGTTGAAATGCAAAATATAGTTAAACCAAATTTGCGAAGAAATTGAGTAAAAGCCATTGATTATGCACACACATCACCCAGTGTACCAAATAATCGATTAGACATCATCGTCATCATTTTACAGTGGAACACAGTGAACCGAACTTCGTTAATCGATTAGACTGAAACCGGGGTCTCTAAAGTGGAAGCCTAACGTGACGTATTTGACCCACATTGAAAACGAAGTCCGGTAGACGAAACAAGCTGTTTTTCGATAAATTTATCAACGGGCTATTCCAATTATATACGATTATTTGGGTTCGTCGATCTGGTTTTGATCGCATCAGACTAAGTACAGACTGTATGCTAAGATTGTTTACCTGATGTTCATCTCGATTAGTTCGTTGATGCGTTCCAGGGGGTGGAGCGGATTTCTTTATCCGAGGCCAGGGCAAGGCTAGAGCCTGAACGAACTGCTTTTGGTTGCACAGGGGGGATCCAATGTTTGGATAGCTTCCGCCTCGGCTGTGCAACGAATGATAAACCGAAGGCGTTTCGACAGAGATGATGGCGTCTGGTAAATCGTGCGGAAAGCCTGGTCAACATTGATAGTGTGCTGTGTCTTCAGTATATGTTGACAGATAGCACTTTTCGCCGTCCTGGTTTCATCGTGTCCCGTCCATGTGGGTTTCCTGTATAATCTTCTCTGGATAGTCCCATCTGGGTTTCGGATGAGTAGAACGTCCAGAAAAGGGGTTCGATCGTTGTAATCTTTCTCGATAGTGAATTTGATTGAGTTGTGGCTTGCGTTGAAAGTCTCTAGCACAGACTCATTGTTGGTTGTTTGATTTGTTGTGAAAAATATATCATCCACGTATCGGCAGTACACACTGAATTCGTATATGGTGTCTTGTAAAATTGTACTCTCGAGTTTACCCACGAATATGTCCGCCAACAATGGTCCCAGCGGAGATCCCACTGCGACTCCGTCCGTTTGTTGGTAGATGCGGTATTGAACAGGAATTGGACGCCAAATGTGCACCGCAGCAGAAGCTCTTTCGGACTGGGAAGGGGTATACCGGTTTCCAAGTGGTTTTCTGCTATGTATTCGCATAAGAAATCACTAGTTTCTAGAAGTGGAACGTTCGTGAATAGGGAGGTCACGTTCAGTGAGTACATTGTTCGTGATGAAATGTTAATGTTTTTGATCTGTTCGACGAATTCGAATGTTCTTCAAACTGTAGGCGGGGATTAGTTGCCTGACGGGTTCTAGTAGTCACATTAACCATCTGGCCGTTGCATAATGTGGGGAGTTCGACATATCCAAGATTGACCTTACCGGTAAATCCGGTTTGTGTACTTTTGGGAGGCCATATAATCGTGGTATTGACGAGCCTTGTGGTTTTAGCAGATCCAAAGTTGCCATTGATATGTGGCCCAGACCTTCGGTTTTCACAACAACCCAAGTCATAGTACGGCAAATCTTGGATTTTCCGTTAGAACAGCAAGGATACAACACCTGGGGAACCCGACGGTGTAAGAACAGCTACGCACGACACTTTCGGAAAGTTGAAGTCACGAATAATGAAAAACGCTGGTCTGTTGTCAGTTTCTGGTATATCCATCAGTAGCTCCGGGTCAGCTTCCAGCGTCATATGGGACCCTAGCAGTAGTAATCAACCACCTTGTCTGTCGCTAGTCCTATCTACCCCATTCTTTGAATACCCGTTTAGAAGAACAACGATCCGCCCTTTTTGCGATCAGGATTCAGTGATATACAAGTTCCTGTGATCCTCGGGAGCGTGCTTCTAACCTTTTACACTTTCCTCCGATACCACAGGCACTCATGTACCACCACCTGATAATGTCCGCATGTAGCTCCAGTGAAGGTTGCCCTATCCTTACATTGCTATTCGAATATCGCTCCTTTGCTTTGCCTCTACATTCTCGGGCTCCTAGGCGACCAGGGCTAACTGGGGTGCTACCTTGATGTCCCTCGCTACGAGTGCTGCTTGGACGCGATTTGTCTGCTCTACGATACCGCTAAATTTCGGCATCGATTTACTCAGGAGTGAATTGTGCGACTAATTTGACCACTTCTGTTTACCTAACGCGCTACTTCTCGGTTTCTTAGGGATGCCTTCTTATGAAGCCTTCCAATCGATTGAAGTCGTTATTGCGACCGCGGTTTACTCTATATTTGGTAATAAATCGGTCCTGTGAACCACCGTCTCATTGTGTGATGGTGAAGCTTGTGAAAGCCAGAACTGGGACTTAGCAGTAGCAGCTACTCAGCTGGAGAAGTACGCACAAATCACTGGTGACAAGGCACACACCCATATGCTTCCGTACTATCCTGACTACACATTTTAGTCTTCAGTCTTGATAGCAAAAGGTAGGGTACCCATGCAAGTGTTACCACCACCGGGTCAAAGGGCCGATCATCGTCATCATCATCATGATCGTACAGCGAAATATAGTGAAGCGAAATTCACTGATCGCTGCCAAGCTCATAATGTACACAAATCAAGTGATAAAGCACAAGAAAATGAACCGCAATGGTCAACACAGTCAACACACAATCAAACTTTGCATATATACCTTTTCAAACATTCTAACCTGATAAGAAATGACAAAAAGAACGCCACTGCTGTCGGTTCGCTGCCAAATCATTCAATGTATCCAACCAACCAGCTGCAGAGTCCGTCGGACCCTAACCTGGAAGGCGAGAGACACCTATTCTATCTAATGACTCTGTACATTTCTTATTGTGAAGTTCCCGCCCATTAGTAGGTTTACTGAGGCTCCTATATGCTTTTGAATAGCGGTAATGAGATGTGTGCTCTATTCTCGTCCCTCGCTGCTTGTTCTTGATTGGCGATTCTAAAATACTGACCATTTAACAAATTTATATCTTATATTGAGCATACGCGTAAAGCACCCATGATTTTGCTTGAAGTGGTACAAAGCTACCGTTTGCATATTCTGTGCGAAGTTGCAAGCCTTTTGGTAGCCATTCCACAACTGTTGTGTATCACAAATTTTGTAGGGTGCCGCCGTTTTTCACGAGTGTTCATAGCCCTATCTATATTTGCCTTCCATCGCGAAGTAAGATGTTTCTTTTGTACGGAACCAGGGGCACGATCCGATCCGTAAGTTGTAGTAGCAGTGTGATAACATATGCTTTCCGGAACTGCATTTGCTATGTCGGGGGCCCAGTTTATATTTTTTGCAGCTCTAATCAGTTCGTCCTTTGTCAAACCTTAATGGATATGGAGTGGAGTCAACGACCTGTGGCAATCTATTCCATGTAAAGATAACTCTGTCGGTGAAGAACCAGTGACGAAATAGCGTAAGCGACATTTGGCTGCTTCAGTTTGTACAACCATTAACTATGCACTATAGTGCGCCGGTTCGGGCTTCTGTCTTTTGGCTGCCCGTTTGGATGAAGCAGAAATACAGCGAGGCTGACAGTGCAGTTGAAAAGAAAACTGAGAACTCCAGTAAACCAAGGTTGCAAATAAATTGAGAGAATGCACGAACGTTACCGTTTATGACACTCAGTCATATCACTCAGTGTCTCTAACCATCGGGTACGATCATCCCGAGGTCCCCAACCAGGGAGCCTAACAGGACCTATGTGACCCAGTACACTCCTTAGGGATTTCATACCCTCGTGCCGGATCTTACTTTGGCCACCCTTGACTTTTTTCCACCTACTATCTGCCTCGGCAAACATTGCTCGCCGTGGTAGTCTATTTAGTGACATATGTAATACATGCTCCAACTAACGTTTTCAGTTTCAGTTTCAGTTTGAACAACCATTGACCATGCACTTTCGTGCGCCGGTTTTGGTTGCTGTCTTTTGGCTGCTCATT